TTTTAAATAGCATCTCAACATTTGCAAGTGCACTTCAAAAATGCACGATTTAAAATGTGCTATCTCGTTATGCATACTGTGTTCCAAAAATAAAGACGTATGTCACCCACATTGTGAGGGGATAAGTAGTTGATGGGTAGAAGTTCCACTCCGCTCTTCTCAAAAGAGTTATGCGACAATGTTAAAGCATAGTTGTAATGTTTACGTTCAATTAATGGTCATGATATGAAGTTAAAATGTCATTAAAGGCAATGATGTTGTAATTGTACACTTAAAACGTCACAAAGAAATGGGTGCATTGTTCAATCACTAGAAAAACCCCAGAATATTTAAATTATTTCCACGACTGGAAGTGGAAGTTTATCCAATAAGCGACTGTGGAACTTCCAGATAAAAATAAAACTTGAGGCGGTGTTCTATTTGAGCCACTTGAATGCTTTGAGCCCAACGCGTACATGAGCCATAGACAGTGCTAACGGTGTGACTGACAGCACATTTCTTTCCTCAAGCCTATTTCCCTGGTGCATGTCTTTGCAGTCAATATTATATACACATTTTATATATACTTTCTGGTATTTTTTTCATATCATAATTAATTCAAATTAAGTAGTACTTTTACGAAATGAGCAAACGAAGTGATGTTAGTTGGTTGATGTAAGGCGACAAAGGGTGGTTTTGTTCGCAGCCTTCCTAAATCTAACAGAGCACAGTGGCTTCGGTGTGTTCCATATGGCCTAAGTTGGGAATACAGTTCTGTGTCAGACTCCCAACAATGAGAAGTTCCAGTGTGAGCTCTAAACATTCGCCTGCAGGAATGAGTCATGCTTTGTCCTTGCACAGGGGTAGAGACAAGCTGGCCAAGCCCAGCGACTGAATTCAACTCGATTAAACATGCCCTGGAATACACCATATCTTTGTTTTGTATATTCTATCGTTCTTTCGGTAAAATCATGTAGATAGAAACAAAAAATAAAGTGATTAAAAAATGTCATCTAAATGTGAAGATAAACCGATGTCCAAGTTCAACCTCCTCTCCAAGAAGAAACCAGACCCACACATTAAAAAGTTAGACGTTGACAAGGTTGTTATTAATCTGAGTAATGGCCCTATTTCCTATGGTCTAAAGTCGGTTTTAGCTAAAGGGTTAAACTTTGCAGTCCTGTGCCCGATACCATTACAATCATTGAATATTTGGTCCAACAAGGATTGAATACTGATGTACTGGCCCTGGTGACGCACTGCCTCACCAATACAAACTGTGGAAGAGGTATGTGGATGACACGTTCGTCATCTGGCCACATGGCTGACCAGCTCTGAACCAATTCCTCAATCACATCAATTCCATACACCCACCCATCAAATTCACCATGGAGGTAGAAAAGGATGGCATGCTACCTTTCTTGGATGTCCTAATCAAAAAGAGACCAGATGGCTCAATGAGCCATTCTGTCTACAGGAAAGTATCCCATACTGACGTCTACCTAAAACCTGATTCCCACCACCCATCCCAGAAGAATTCCCTCATCAAAACGCTACACCATAGAGCTCAATGTATCTCCGACCATGAACACCTGACCAGTGAATTCAAACACGTACACCAAGCTCTCAAGGCGAATAAATACACTGACTACACAATCCGCAAAGCCATCACCCCAACCGTGAGGAAGGAGCCATCTAAGGATCCAATCAAAACCATCACCTTGCCATACATAGCAGGGGTAACCAAAAATATTTCCAAAATCATGAACAAACACAAGATCCAGGTCCGATTTAACACAGTACATAAAATTCGTGATCTGATCCCATCTGTGAAGGACAAGATCCCTGACATGCAATATATAGGTGTCTACAAACTAAGCTGTATCTGCGGCAGTAGTTACATTGGGGAAACTAAGCGACATGTCTCGGACCGTGTTCGTGAGCATGAGGCAGATTTGAAATACGGTAGGACCAATACTTCTGCCGTGGCTGATCATTATTTTAATGCAGCTGGCCCACACGAAATTGATTTCTCTAAGACGATGGTACTTTGCAAGCCTACTGGCTATCAACAAAGATTTGTTCATGAAGCCACCCATATACACAAACACAATTTCAACCGAGAGGATGGTTATAAGCTCAACAATCATTGGAAAGATGTCATCAACCACTTTGGGTCATGACTTGATTTGTGTTTTCTTGTCAACCTCCTACAATTAACATTAGCTGCCCCGCCCAACTCTAAACTTTAATAAACAGCTTGCCCTCAGAGGCTAACCTCTCTGTTCCTGATGATGACCCCTTGTGTTGCGATCAAAACGTCGTGATATTTGTAATCACTTTCTTTTTATTATTTCTATCTACGTGACTTTACCGAAAGAACCATAGAATATGAATTCCTGCAGTCACGGAAGTTTTAAGTCAAATTAGTTTTGCATGTCAAACATATGTTAAGATGCTGGCACAGTGGCTACTGCACTGAGATATATGAACTCTGCAAACCTGAGTTTGATTCCTGGCCATGATTAACATCATTACGAGTGATATCTGAACCAGTCTCGCTCCACCGCTCCCTTCACCTACCAGTACTGACCAGGACGGTGAAGTATGGCCAATCAACTCCCATGACTGACACTGGATGTGGAGACATTCATCCAGCAGTGGATTGACAAAAGCACTGTGTATTATGAGTTGGTGAAGAACAACACTTGCGGGCATACTCGAGCTAGATTAGTGTATCTCTTTTTTAATTACCATAACAAAAATGTAAATATCATGTGATAATTGAGCCTTATCAAGTACGATTAAAAAAACAATAGTTTGCTGTTATGAACATGCGCATATAAATTATATATTTACTCAAGTTGTCAATTGCAAGAGTAACTTTAAGTGGTTAAAAAACTGCTTACATGGGTGTTGAGAAATGAATTGTAAACACTTATCACTGCACCCGATTTATTTTTGTTTGTGAAAACCATCATTGGTGCATTTCACCATCACGTAATTCATAAGTATCGACTTTGACGTAGCGCAACCAACTATTTTTGCTGTGTTTGCGTGTGTACAGCAAATGTGTCGGTCACCTCGTGTGCCGTGCCGGCCTTCAAAGGTGCTCGCGAACAACACTTACCCCAAAGATCGGTTCAGACGAGACGGGGGGGGATCTGTGTCTTGTCTTTGTGTCGCCTAAACTTGAACCCCCACGCACAATTGTCATATCAACGTGCAATGACTCTGTTAGCCACACAGACACGTGGTGGAAGTGCCCGCTGATGCTTTCTGGACTGTAGTGTGCCCACCCTGGACGCCGGCAACACTCTCCAGGCTTGGCAAGACGACGCCGCTTTACATCAACGTTGAGAATGTCAAACACCGGCTGATGCCCCCTGTTTTTTTTTGTTATTAATCAATTAATACAAAGCAGCCGTATAAACAACGTCGTGTTTGAGTCGCTCGGCTCATCGGTAGTCGACGGGATTAGCTCACCGAAATTCATAATCATTCACAGATTAGACATCGCACCTAGAGCATACGTCCCCACGCTCGTTGGTGCAAGGGTGGTGGATGTGTGGCGGGCACTGGAACACGTGCGGGCGCCGCCGCTCGCCACCCATCTTGCGTGCCACGAGTCTAACTCTGTAATCGCGTGCTAGCTAAGCACCGCGCGCCACTCTTTAACTCCACTCCATCACGATGACGTTGCCGCGACATCAACATTGTGACGCTGCAGCACAGACCGGACACGCACAGGCAACCTAACTCCACACAGCCCACCGCGTGGTGGAGGAGGACCACCGGCGATGCTTCACTCCACCTCAAGGCAACGCGCGGCCCCGACTCGGAGGCAGGGAGAAGCGATCGTTCCCGTAGCTTCTCCGTGTGGTCACCTCGAGTCGCACACTCACACCCACTCACCCACCCGGCGGCTGACAAGGCACCAGCTGACTCTGCTCAAGTTGCGCCAACTCACTCGACGCGGCTTGTAGGCAGGAGGCTTTAATCCATCACGACTGGTTATGATGATGTTTCGAACTCACAATGTGAATCGTGTATGAGCAACTTTACATTCTGAGCAATGGTCCTTATAAGTTCTGAGCAAAACCATTATACAAGCAAAAGTCCGCTCTTGTGTCTCCATATCAAATTCTACACACTAGATTTGTTTACGTGCCTTACACACAGCAGCTGTAGTACAATTGTACGATATTTAAGCAGAACTTCGCTCTGTCTCCACACAAAGACAACATGTTTTAAGTCTATCGCCCTATTGATCTTCCAGGATTTTAACTATCCATCATCATGTCTAAGGAAATGAACTCTAGTCCGGTTTCTCTTTCTGGGTCTCATCAGCAGAGCCAAACTTGTTCAAACATGCCGCTGTGTTAGCAAGGTGCGTTGGTAATAGTGAGGGCGCACATGACATCGGTGATGGAGCAATGATGCACTCACTCAGGCACTCAACCACACACTCACCCACTCACTCAGGCACTCACCCACACACCCACTCACTCACCCACACACTCACCCACCCACTCACACACCCACTCACTCACCCACTCACTCACCTACTCACTCACCCACCCACTCACACACCCACTCACTCACCTACTCACTCACTCACCCACTCACTCACCCACTCACCTACTCACTCACCCACTCACCCACTCACTCACTCACCTACTCACTCACTAAATCACCCACTCACTCACCCACTCACCTACTCACTCACCCACTCACTCACCCACTCACTCACCTACTCACTCACCCACCCACTCACTCACCTACTCACTCACCCACCCACCCACTCACTCACCCACCCACTCACTCACCCACTCACCCACCCACTCACTCACCCACTCACCCACCCACCTACTCACTCATCCACTCACTCACCCACTCACTCACCTACTCACTCACCCACCCACTCACTCACCTACTCACTCACTCACCCACTCACTCACCCACTCACTCACCTACTCACCCACCCACTCAATCACCCACTCACTCACTCACCCACTCACCTACGTTCCGGAGCTTTCTATTGCGCAACACTGACACGATCACCAACAGGTTCCCACAGATGTCCACCACGATGGTGGAGATGAGCACAGACGCCAAGAGAGGTCCCAGCCAGGGCGGCCGCTCCCCCCCCTCCTCCTCGCTGCCGCTGCCACGCGCCGCCGGTGGCAGCATCGTGTGCGCTGCCCCGACCGCGGCGGCGGCGGCGTCCAGCACGCGGGTTTGTGCACTCATTGTTCAGTCGCGGAGTCACCGGGAGGCAGCGGCAGCAGCGAGGTTAAGTGGCTACCGGACGCTCCCGCTGTTGTTGCTGCTCGTTGCGCCTTTGCTGCCGGCGGAGGTGGCGGGATGAGGAATGCGAGCCGCGTCCGGAGAGTTGCCGGCGGAGCAGAAGATGCGCGTCTCCTGCCCAGGCGGCGTCTCGCCGCTGTGCACGGGACGCCGTCGCTATGGACGAGAAGACGGGTGCCATGTGCGTGTGATGAGTGGGTGAGGGAGGGAGGGAGGAGGAGGAGGAGGGGAAGGTGGAGGCGCTGCAGCCGAGACTCTGCGATGTTAGTGGTGGGGGTCGAGGGAGAAAGGGAAGGTGCTCGGGGAGTTACGGTGACGCGCTGTGGGGGTTTAACTCCGTGCATGTTGCTTGACGCAGCACTTGCTTGCTTCACATTCCTGTTGTCTTACGAGTATCTGTGAGCCGGTGAGAGCGGTCGTGCAGTTAGCGATACGCTGCGCTTACGAACCCGGCCAACACGGCCAACACCAGGGATGATTATCTGAACCGGTTCTGGGCCTCTTCTAGGTCGACTCAGCCTCAAATGAGTACCTGGTGCGATGTGTAAACATCGCCACTAGGGAGACAAAGGCGTCCGGGTGTGGTGCTGGCCACCCACCCCCTCGTGTGCCGTGCCGACATTCTTTGATGCTCGCTTAACAGCACTTGATCCAAAAGTCTGTTTAAAGCTATACGGGGGGCAGGGTCTCTACATATATGCACACACGTGAAGAGAGGTAATGCGTGTTATGACTATGCATTGTGTGGATGGAGCTGCGGCACCACGGTTTAATGCACTTCGCTATGAATCGGGCTACCTGAGTTGGATTCCCGGTCATGGTGAACATCAGTGGCGAGTGATGTGAAACCATCACGCGAACTCCGCACATCCTCGCAGCAGCAGCAGCGAGCCGAGACGGTGGTCACGGCATCGCGATGCGCTTTCAGACGCGCTTCTGTGGCCGTCTGGAACGCTCTTCCTTCCGATATTGGGAAGCCACTGGAGTTTTGCACTTTTAAATCACCATCTAGATTGAAAACTCATTTCTTTAGAATGCTTTTTGTCTGTAGTCTATTGTCCTTCCCCCGCACGCCCGATTAGCACGGTTAGCTACGTACGGTGCGAAAGAATTTCAACACACACACATATCTGAGCCGCTCCTGGAACCCGCTCCCTGCTGACCATGAGTATTTTCTACGTAGGCTTTCACGAACAGCATTATGATTCGTCATAGGTTTATTTTGGGATAGGTCGTGTACAATTTATTCTGGTAAACCCTCCTCCAGCCAACACTAAAACAACAAATAAACAATTCGTATTTAACCAGGTAAGGCCACACTGAGCTACTGTGTAGCTCTTTTTCAGAAGTGACCTGGCCACAAATGATAGCTCAACGAAGTGGCTTCTCACGTAGAAATGTATAGCAGGCAAACGCTCTCAATTTCGAGGAAAAATCGGGAGGAGCCGGAGAAAAATCCACGCGACCACCAACAAAGCGACACATGCGCATTCCAATATGCAGCAGGTGTCGGGGTCGAACCCACGACCTCCTGCATATCAGGCGAGGGAGTTAACATCTAGCCACCGCGGCGCCCTGACATGTGTCACGTGAAGTACACGTGACAATCTTACGGCTTCAGCACTCCCGGTGTTGTTGTTTGAGAGTCGTCCCACAACGTTTAGATGGGTATCGACTTTCCCTGTAGATTACATCAAGCATCATGATGAGGTTGTTAACAGCCGCTCAGATCTCAGATATCACTCGACACCTGAGTACCTGTAGTTAACAACATGATGATGCTGGGTATACTCTCCAGCGAAACGTCGTGACGCGTTTAAATGCTGTGAGATGACTCTCCAACAACACTGAGCGGCGAGGTCTCTATGCAGTCGTGGATTGACAAAGCGCTGTGAAGCGATTTGTTGCAATCAAATTCAGGAACCTTTGAAATCGTGTGATCTATTTTTACTTCCTTGACATTGTTCTGAATTAATAAAAAAAATGTGAGTTTTGTTACAAAAATAATCGTGGAAAAAACAACCATCAACCGTTTTCGCTGACGTGGGTCCCAGTTCACCTTTTTTCTATTTCACTTTGTGTGGGTCATATTGTGTTCAAAGGACATTAAAATAGAACCAATTATTCACAATAACGAATATGCCCTAAGAATTTGAACCAAAACTTTAACAATGTTTAACGAGGATACTCAATACATTGAGCACGTTATTTTTTTACAACCTTTATTTTAAATAACTCTTTTCCAGCTTTTAAAAAAACAGAAAAATAGCCATTCTGTTTTAACAATACTTTCCAAGGTTGCTGAGCATGGTGACTGTTTTTTTTTGTCACGAATTCATTATCATTATGCCACCGAGACCCATAAAGTGCTTTTCCTTCAATCCTGCATAGTTTTTTTTTCACCCCTGCCTCATTCACGTTAGCAGTACATTCCTAGCGCGTTCTTTCAAATGTCTTCTTTCCCTTGATCTTCCCCTATGATTTTTTTAGCAGATCTCTCGGTGTCTCGTGATACGCTCCGTCTCCAGATTTCATTAATATTCTTAACGTGTCACTCAGCCATGGATTTGGGCAATAAATGATGGCAACACCGGTAGGTAGCCTTGCTCTCTTCCCTCAACATTCCCTGGCCTCCCACACCTTACTTCCGAGCCTCTAGCCCATGACACTCCCTCTCTCACCCAACTTACTGCCCTCTCCCATATAAATGATTCCCCTCTCTCACTTCTCTTACCTGAACGTGCTACCCTCTCTTAGTCAACCCAATCCCTTCTCATTGGACTCACTGTCGTCTCTCGCTGTCCTCATGGACACCTTATACAGAATTTTCCCTGTCTCGGCCTCGCTGTGCGCTGCGTTGCACCACTATCCGAGTAGATAACCTCGCATTCAATAAACCTTCAGAACCAGGGTGAACATCCGACTCCAAACGTATTTAATGAATTGAACGAGGTCAAACTGATGGAAAAACACAGCACAGATACAGCATCTGTTAATACTTGGAAATATCAATACAATGAATGAACACTACAGCACCATAACATTGTCTTAGATAACATGAAACTCAACAATAGATCCTGGATGGACCAGGCACTTACATTATTCCTGAATAGCTATACAAGAGAATAAGCTACTGTGTTAAGTAAGGGCACATCGTGTAATCACAATACTGCAGCCTACATGTACAGCACTACACAACACTGAACTGTGGATGAGATATTTCGTCATCCTTGCTCTCAAGATCGCAATAAGGTTACATGGGTACAAGTCTGACTCGACTTATTCAATTACAAATAACATTCACAATAAGGCAAGTGGCAGGCTTCGTTGTTAACTAGGTCTCATATTTATCATAACAATTTAACAGCATTATAAAGACATTTACAGCATTATAATGGCCATTATAACATTCTTAAAGGCCCACAATGAACAGATGCACCTGTCTTCGCTGAAACGCTATTTGTGCCACCATTTTGTACTCTGTGTAATGGCTGATAACCTGCCGCATGGCTTAGAGAATGTCAAATCGTAACTTCCTGGTCACGTGACCAAACTCAACATCCAAACAGTAAATGCATGTGTACACACGCCCCCACGCCTGCCATGAGGCAGAACATTCCCCAAATTTATCGAAGTTTGTATAGTCATGATAATGATGCTATTTGTTTTGACTGTTTCTGAACACTCATTGTTTTGCTATTTCATTCTCTTTTCACAATACATCACCAATGTTATTTTTTCATCACTTATCTTGTATTATTATGTAACCAGTATTTTACATTTCTCGAAAGGGCATACATTCGTGTTGTACTTGCATTTATGTTTACGCAAAAATTAACTCAAGGCTTCATAAGAAATTCCTGAATGAGTGTTCGCGGAGGGGAGTCTGGCAATGCCAGAGCTCATTGCGAATATGGAACCTACATCAGCCACACGAACTTTTGCGGTAATTGCAATAAGTGGAAAAAAGCGTATTTTTTCATACGGTAAAGCTTTAGCTTTATTTCATTAGCCAAGCACATTGTTCCACAACACGATCACTCTTGGTACGTGCTACCAAAATGAGAAAAAGTACCATCGTATGGGGCACTTTGATACTTGTTTCAACCTGTATTGCAGGGAAACTATGGTGGCCTTTATTTTGCGTGTCCGTTTCCGCAGCCGGACTCATTCTATTAAATTATAGAGCTCGCCCTGTGCACAGTGATGCAATAAGAATGTTTCTGCACCGTTCGTGTATTACATTTAGATTGTAGCTATGGGCCCCGCACGAACTTTTGCGGTAATTGCGATAAATGGAAAAAAGCGACGAGGATTCGATATCAGAGGCGGAGAAGCGACCTGCCCACAACAACAATAACAAGACAACTCTTCCACATGTGACTCATCTCCCTGGGTCTGCCTGAGCTGCTGCTCCCTGGGCCTGCCTGAGCTGCTACTCCCTGGGTCTACCTGAGCTGCTGCTCCCTGGGTCTACCTGAGCTGCTGCTCCCTGTGTCTACCTGAGCTGCTGCCCCCTGGGTCTACCTGAGCTGCTGCTCCCTGGGCCTGCCTGAGCTGCTGCTCCCTGCGTCTGCCTGAGCTGCTACTCCCTGGGTCTACCTGAGCTGCTGCTCCCTGGGTCTACCTGAGCTGCTGCTCCCTGGGTCTACCTGAGCTGCTGCTCCCTGGGTCTACCTGAACTGCTGCTCCCTGGGCCTGCCTGAGCTGCTACTCCCTGGGCCTGCCTGAGCTGCTGCTCCCTGGATCTACTTGAGCTGCTGCTCCCTGGGCCTGCCTGAGCTGCTGCTCCCTGGGTCTACCTGAGCTGCTGCCCCCTGGGTCTGCCTGAGCTGCTGCCCCCTGGGTCTACCTGAGCTGCTGCTCCCCGGGTCTGCCTGAGCTGCTGCTCCCCGGATCTGCCTGAGCCGCTCCCACGGCTCCCGTCACGCGGCGGTCGCAGCGCCACCGTCGAGAAGCCGGAGCGGCGCCTGGGAGCCGTGGACGCCCTCCCATTTACAAGACACCGGGCATCTGGGTACAAACTAGTGCTAGCTCCACACCTGGATAATGCCACCACTCCACTCCACCGCCGACTTCCACTCAATCAACAACCACCTTCATTTGGACTGCATTGACATTCACTGAGAACTGGACTAATTCGCCGTCCGCCTCACAGATGCTCTGGTCGTATGTTCAATTACAACTACTCAACCCCAAACTCCATTCCATCCATCTGGTCCTGTTTGCGCACCACAACTTCCTCAATACGTCATCACAACATACGACACGTGCACCTAACCAATCTCTGCCCCATCCCTCGGTCCTCTCAATTCACCACGAAGCAAAGTCACCTGAAACTGGCTTTGCTCAACACCCGCTCACTAAACAATAAAAGCCTCATTTTAAATGAATTCATTACTGACAACCTGGATTTTCTCTGTATCACTGAAACTTGGCATAAACCTATGGACTATTTCGCACTCAACCAGACTACACC